ACAGCAGTGTATGTTGTTGGATCCTTCTCCCCCCCTCCCCTGTTATCTTTTGTCCTGCCTGAGGTTTGTAGCTGAGGAAGCTGAAGCAGGGGGATGTCATGCACAACCAAGGCTGGAGAATTTCTGGATCCAAATCCTGTACCTGCTCCTTGTTTAGAATAGGGGTTTAATACTTGACACAACCACTGTCTCTGAGTGGAGCAGGTATTGGGACATGCCTTCCCTGAAAGCAAATCCCTAAAGTTTTTTACAGATAAAAAACCCCCAAAGATTAATTCAGACATAATAAACTGGAATGGGGTGTTTGGGCACATGGGACACCCTAAGCCCCCAAATGGCACCAGGAATCTTCTGGCACTACGAATCTTCTGGCACTGTGTAAAGCTCTGGCAGGAGACTTGGGAGCCACAGTTAGCAGATGCCCATCTGGGCAGGGCCCCAGGGCACTGGGGACTGATAAAAGATGAAAGGTATGCACTTGGTGGTGTGCTCCCATGCACTGGAGATAAACCTACTGGATCCAAGGCCGGTGACTATCTACCTTTCTCTCCTTTTCCTCTCTGTCTTTTTCTTCTCCTACCTTCTTCTCCCCAAAATACATTGGAACCCAAAAATCAAGTCCAAGCATTGCCAACTGCCTTAATCTATCTGGATGTTCTAAAGTGTGCAACTAAAAATTGTTTTTCAGTGAACCTCCTGAGAAACTGTTGTTGTAACCTGCACTGCCCAGAGGATCCCCAAATAGCCCCTGTGTCCCCATTGCCAGGGTTTGCTTTCGAGCCTGGGCTTGTGGGAGCACAGGGAGCTCGGAGCTGAGCTGGGGGATGGACCCACAGCCCGGCCCAGGCGCCCCATGGAGCCGCTCCGGGCTGGGAGCTGGGCCCAGGGGACAGACGGGATCTGCTCCCGACGCATCCCTGCAGACTCCACAAAGAACTGCCCATGGCAGCAGGACTCTGCCCAGCACAGGCTTCACTCCTGGGATTTTATCCCTCAGCACAGGAGTGCGTTTAGTTGCTGTCCAGGGATAACCCAACATTCCCCCTGTTCCTTAGGAAGCTGCAGCCCCCGCAGGGCTCATCCCGGCCTCCAGCTCTGGGGTGCTGAGCTGTGGAGCTGCTGGAGCCAGTGGGGAGGAGGCCCCAGAGATGCTGCGACGGCTGGAGCTCCTGTGCCCTGAGGAAAGGCTGAGAGAGTTGGGGTTGCTGAGGCGGGAGAAGAGAAGGCCCCAGAGAAGCCTCAGTGCGGCCGGGCAGGAGCTGAAGGGGCCCAGAGGAGAGCTGGGCCAGAGTGTTCAGCAGGGCCTGTGGGGAGAGGAGAAGGGGCATTGGCTTCACACTGAAGGAGGTGGATTTAGGTTTGATTTGCTTTAGGAAGATGTTCTTTTGCACTGTGGGTGTTGAAGCCCTGGCAGGGGCTGTTCAGAGAGGCTGTGGATGCCCCATCCATGGGAATGTTCAAGGCGTGCTTGGACAGGGCCCTGAGCAACCTGGTGCGGTGGAAGATTGTTCAAGCTTGAAGAAGATGATTTTTAGGGTCCCTTCCAAGTCAAACCAGTCCAAGATTCCATCATTCTACAGTCTCCATCCCCCACTGCGGAGTGGCCTTGGACCTCCTGTGACATCCCAGGTGCCAGAGCTGTTCCCGTGTTCCATGTGGAACTGCCAGGGCCCGGCGACGAGCACAACGCAGCCATTCCCCTGCTGACAGCGAACCTTCAGCAGCTCGCAGCGAATCCCTGTCACCTGCTCCAAGACCACCCTTCACCCTGCTCCAAGAGCACCTTTCCTCCTGCTCCCAGCTCCCTATCCTTACCAGCTCCCTGATAGTCCGTCAGTCCGGAGCTCTCTCTACTGACTGGATCTCAGCATCGATCCTGCAGGATGTGCAGTTTTGTCCCAGTGAAGGTACAGTGCCATTCCATGGAGGTGGGCACCCCATGACTACGTTGGATGGCATCCCCTGTGGGGATGGTTTGGGACAGAGACCCCTCTCTGAGGTTGTGCTCCCTGCTGCAGGGTGTCAGAGACTCCGAGGAAGCCATGGATGTGGACATGGATGGCGATCGCGAAGAGAGTATGGAAGTGGACCTGGAAGAGTGTGTGGAGGAGATGGAGGTGGACACGCAAGAGGAAGAAGAGATGGACGTGGAAGAGGAAGGCGAAAAGGAGGAGGCCATGGTGCTGGGATGAGGAGAGTCCCCCATCAGCAGCAGGTCAGGCCCGCCCTG